ATTTGATAGTTTATTTCCCTGGAAAGGAAGTCATTGCTCGCTTTATCGTTCAGGCTGAGTAAGTTGTACTGGGGAATAAAAAAGTGTGGAAGTTGAGAACTTTGCAGGCAATCCAGAAAATATCCCAGATACTTATGAAAGCAGTGATCCAGGTCCGCCCACTGCCAATCTTTGTCATGTGGCCAAATGACACATGAGTGGAAAAATGCAGTTTTGATGTGATATGAACAGAACTTTTCCAACTCCTTTTTATATTTCATTTTAAGTTGTTCTAGCAGATACTTCAGAAGTTTAAGACACTCTTTACTCTTTCCTGTTAAATGAAAAAGAAAGGATTAGGTATTTTCTATAGAGTCAGGTCCAAATATCTAAGAGGCACATTATGCATTGAAGGCAATCAAAATACTCCTATTGTAATGGAATAATACTTTCAATCATGTTTTGTATAAAATCTGAAAATAAAAGTGCAGTAATAGGCTAGAGAGTCCTAGAAGCACTGCAAATGAATTTATTTAATCCTAACGATGAAGGATCTCTCCTTTAAAAAGCATTTTTTGTGCAGGAACTTAATTTTTCCTGGTAGCCGCAGCAACACAGAAAGCGCTGGTCAGCAGTGCGCTCAGCAGTATAGTCTCCTCGGTGCAGATGCCACATTAGATGTGGACTTGGAGGACTGCTGAAGATTAAAGCTACCCTTTTGGCTTTACGCTGAAGGGAATATGGCCACATTCCTGTGGAGAGACTCAGTGAAGATGGAGAGGTGTAGTTTAATAAACTGCTAGGCAGGGGCATAGCACGTCTGATAATACTCAAAAAGCAAAGATAAAGAATTATGTATTAGCTGCGACTCTCTTAACTTTCTTGACTCGGTACCAGATACAATTAAACTAAGCAAGCTATGGAGAAGTTGTTTCAAGTATGTGCTCTACGCGATGTGGTTTTGGTTTGGTTTCTTCCTCTTCAAAGAAATGTGGAACCCAGTTTTTATTAGTGTGAAAAGTAACATTTATTGATCCTGTCCCCATTCAGCTGTTCTTCTCTCACCATCATTTAAAAAATTTGCCTTGGTAGGAAATGTAGTTTGCTCCCTAAGCTCAGAAAGCCGAGTCATCAGTTTGAGCTAATTTTTCTGAACAGGACTGGGTTTGGGAAAGAGCTCTTGACAAATCACATCAGTGTACTTTATAAGCCAAATTTGGAGCCTAAACCTGCAATGTCATTTGCTTCCATCTCTCATTGACTGAATGGAAGTCAGACATGTTCAGTGAGGCGTGAAGGTTTGTACTAGTGTCCACTGTAGAACAGTGGTGTGAGAATTAGTGCTTAAAAGCCTCATTCTCGCTCCCTTTTATGAGTTTACTCTTACAACAAACTCTTCTTAATTTAAATGTTAAACTGAAACAGTGCTAGAAAGTATTATGGCTCAGACAGACTTAAAGTAAAATATTAATATGAAATACCAACCTACAACATTTTGCTCCATCAAATTCACAACATGTCTTTGCGCTGCCGTGGTTTGTCATCATTTCCTTTTCAATATGTGAGAAAGACAGTCGCCAAGTGTTTCCTAAAGCGTTGAGCAGAAGATTGTTAAATTGGTACAGAGCAGTATTATCAGTGTCTATAACTAACAAAAGACGTTTTAAATTTGACTTAATTAGAATATCAGCAACTTGGATTCACTTTGAAATTAAGCTTAATTCTGAACTTCCCTGCATTTGCCGAACATGATTTGGGGCATAATTACACTATCCACAGAAATTACTACCTCTAAATTTCTGTTATGGATTGTCAGCCTTACCGTTTAACCATTTTGTTTTTGAATAAACAGATCTTGATAATTGGTATAAATTTCTACATTACTGTGCAGTTAACGTGCTTGTGAGCTTGTCTTAGGTAACAGGCCTTTTAAAGCATTCCTTTTGTTCTGCTGTTTATGTTTCTGAAAGAAAAAATTCATATAGCTCAGCTCACTTGTTTTGTAACACCAACAGTAATGTTTGTCTTTCTCACACAAGTTAGACTGTTTCTGTGCACCATTTTGTTTAGTTACTATTTCCACTTAATCCTCACTGGAAGAGAGGGAGCCCAGTAGGTCAGTAATGACTCTCATTTGGCACTGTATGAAATGGCTGTGCCAGTTAAAAAAAATACCAAGCTGCCTCAACTCTTCTTGCTAAAGTAGACTATTTCTTGTAATCCAATGACAAGTTGGGATGTTTTTTTACAAACTAATGTAGGCTTGGGGTGACAGTCATGTGAAAAAAAAGTTATGTAGCAGTCATACCAATTGGAGTTTTAATGAGAAATACTGTATCTTGCCAGAAAAGTATACAATACACTCCGTGTAGAAGTATGTAACTTAGCACTGTGTGTACAGTCCCATTTAGAGGGATGTTTTTTGACTTTTTAGAAGTCTTAAAAAAAAAAAAAAAATCTTACAAAGCAGAGGAGTGGATATTGCTGTTAAGTACATCACTATCATAGGGAAGATCCATATTCACGTGTCAGTCAACTTAATATCACGCTGCTAGGAAATGATAGTATACAGTCTCGCCCAGCAGTTTTGGTTTTAGATTTCAGTACAGGTTGAGCAGTATCACAAATCTGATGTTTTACAGGGAGTTTTCAGTTGTCTTTGATCTGAAAGTGTCCTGGATAAGATAAAGATCTGTACCTTGAAGACAGAATATGAACAGAATTTGGATACTCTTTTTATAGCACTTGTAAGCGGTCAAGTTGAAGAACAGGTATTTCACAACTTAGGCTTATTGTCTGTATTTGAGATACCTCTTAGCACCTTTTCTTCTTTGTTTTGTTTGGCTACTAAATAAAGCTTTCTGTTTCTGAAGATTCTCCTGACTTTTCTTCCTAGCCATTGTTCAATATTTAGGCCGTTCTTTGTGCTGGGAGGCCAGCTCTGCTGAACTTCCAAAGCCAAGACGATGTCCAGTGAGATTTCCGCTGGAGGCTTTTTGATCTGAAGTGTTATTGCAGGGCTTCCAGCCTTTTTCCTTGTCACGGTTACTGCCACATCTAGTAACAAAAAAAAAAAAAAAGATCTTTTTTCACATTCGAAGAAACATTTTTTTTGAAGACTGTTAAGGTTATTTAACGAAAATTTGTATCAGTCAAAAGAAATAACCTGGGTGCGGTCACTGACTCTTCATCCTATAGGATTAGTGAAATGAATACTTTTACACTGTTTTATTAAAATACACCATTTTAAATGAAATGTTAAGAAGGATTATTGAGGAGTTCTGCTGTGAAATAAGGAAGACTTCTTGAGTTGATGCGTTTGATTGATTGCCTGTATTTCTGATTCTAATTGCAAGACTATCTGTAGGCATAGTAATGTTTTCTAATGAGCTGCTTTAGTGTGGAAAACATGAAAAATGAAGAAATTCAGTCACAAAGTTTCTGAAGGCTCCTTCCAGAAAAAGAGCTACATAAATAGAGGTAATTCATAAAAGAATGCTCTTTTTCCTACCAATTCAGCAAACAGCTCTCTGCTTAAGACAGACAGGTTCAGGATGTCTAGGCCATCTAGAAAGTACCAAGCAGGGGACTGTTATTCCCTGTTAACCCTGAATATTCTTTGTTTTCATACAGAAAGAGGATTGCATAATGGACCAATGTCTAAATCACATAATTACCTCTGGTGTGTTTGTGGTGATTCTTAGAACAAGAGCAAACATGAGATAAGGAGGATGGGGGTTCCTCGCATGTTTAACTATGCTGATTGGGGGAAAAATACATTTCATCAACAACACAGCAGTGCATGTGTGCAATTTAATTGGATTTTTAGCATTTGTAGGTAAAACTTGTTCATTCAGTACTTACTTTTTATGGTTTTTACTGCTTCTTTAATAATTTTTCTTAGTGCTTCAAGCATTTTTAAGGATGATAATTTTCCATCTTCATCTAGAAACTTAGTCAAATACCTTTCTTTTGGATTTCTTGTGAACGTTAGATAATAAAAAGCTCCAGTGCTGTCACACTCCTCAAGCCGAAGTCGTGTAACAGGCATTGTAAGCATGATGTCAAACTCATTTGGTTCAGATATCTGCAAAATACAAGAATGCAGTATCGAATGTGCAGATTAGATTTTGTCTTTGCAGTTCAGGTTTTACCCCTTTTAGGCTTTCATCCCGGTTTAGGTTTTATCTACAACTGCCTTGGTGTATTTCCCACGTCTGGTGTGGAGTACGAGCTTATTTCTGTGGATTTCTATTAAAACAGACTGGTATGCATTTAAGTGGAGAAGAGCAATCTACTGATAGCAGTTCTTCTCCCAGCTTTTCAACCTCTTAATTTTTAGGAGTTGTAGGATTCTTACTGTTGTGTGTAGTAGATGAGTTCTGGTCTTTCTTTTGCATGTAGGAATCGGCTGTGAGGGAAAAAATGCATTGCTGTGCCTGAAACAAGTAAAAGATGTCTCACCTGTTTCACCTTTTCAGATTGAGCTGGAACCAGAAGCACTATTGCTAGTGCTCCTGCTTTTCAGAGGTGACAAAGTTGAACTCTGAGCTATCAAAACAGCTAAAAACTACACAGATAACGTATTGCCTTTCATACTGTGCTGTGACAGAGCAGCTGACTCGCACAGCAGTAGACATGGCTCAGCAGAGAAGCTGGCGGCCTTATCAGTGCACTGTGTAAAGCCAAGGGCTTGCTGCGGTTTTTAGATGAGTTCTCGTGTGATGGCATTGCTTGCTAAGTATATACAGATACATCTTTTAGTAAGTTAAATATTTCTATGTAACCGATATTCACGTGGTAGTCATTAAAGCCATTTCTCGTCGGAAAGGGCCACCCCTTGGCACATAACCTGTAGTTAGTTATACATAAGAGAGCGGCGCAAAGCTGCCTTGTGCAAACCACTCGCGACTTCCTTCCACAGCTGCTTGCCGGGCTCCTGGTCCCGACCTGCGGCCGGTAGAAGCTCCGCCTTCAACCAGACTTCGTTCCGGCACTAACCTGGAGCCGGGC